GCAGAGGACTACAGAATAGAGAAACACAAAGACATAGTCTGTCATTTACATGACTAAGGATCATGTGAACAAAAATGTCTCAGCCTGTATAGCACGATAAACACTGATGAAACACAGGAAATTGACAGACACACCAAGAAATACACAAGCAACACAAACACACTTTCAGTACTGTAGAAATTAAGAAAATGAAGAAACTAATGTCTGACATCTCCAGGAAGTGATTCAGTGAAGATCACAAGTTGTTTGGTGCTGCCATGTGTTCTTCTGCTGACTGCAGTCATAGTGTTGTGTGTCCACATCCATACAAAGAGCACAAACTGCACACAAGAGACACAACAGCTACTAACCAACATCACCAACCTCACAGAAGAGAGAGATGAGCAAATAATAAATACCAGCTAATAAATCAACTTAATAAATCAAAGAGGGCAAGTTACTTCATTTTATTATGGCCTCAGCAACTTCTAATGTACACATATTAGTAAATTATCTGCTAGAAGTTAAAGTGGTTTGAATGTAGATGTCTTCACAGTCCACTTAGACCAAATAAATAAATAAATAAAAAACTCAAGGTGCAACCTGAAACCTGATAGTCCAAAACTTTGAAGAGTGCCTGGTCTGGGTTGGGACTGATATTAGTAGACTCAAGTCTCGGTTATTTTAAAATAAATGTGCTTTTACTGAATGAACCTGAGAAAACCCCGTATTGTCAGATTGTTTACTGTACCCTGCAACTAGAACTTATTTCACCCAGTTATTACAGATAAACAGAAAGTTTAACATTTTTAACAAGTAGCTCGCAAGTATACAGTATGTACATAATATAATAATTATAAATGTGAGAAATAAGTTTGGGAGGAAGATATGTATAAACAAATTAATGCCTGTTGCATGTTAAACACTACGTGTCTGCAGACGAGCCCCTCAAACATAAAATAACACACAAATACAGCAGCAATACAGCATGATTGGCTTTCTTTGCAATTATACATTATAAAAACAAATATTACTTTAATGCTAATAAACCAATAGGATATAACAAAGTAAATAAAACAAAAAAAGAGTAAAAAAGAAAAAGATGCTGTCTATGTTGACAGTATAGCTAGGTTTTAAAACTCAGTATTATAAGTGAAGACATGCAGACTAAATGAGGAACAGAGAGTGAGAGCAGTATATTGGAGCTGCACTGTGTTCATCTGATAAGTGTTATTACAGTCAGACTTGGGGTTTTGGTGTCATTTTCAGCATCTGCATCTGAGAAGTGGTTGTTCACGTAACCAAAAGCAACTAGTGTTAAATAAAGGAAGTACTTTTAAAACGTGCCAAGTTTTACATTATTCATTTCAGGCATTTAACAATTACATATAATTGATTCTACGGCAATGTTATTATTGTCTGCTTTATCTACTTGGAATTACTTGCCCAAGCGGAAAAGCAATGTACTGTCAACAGATATTGATTACAGAAAACCACCGAAATGCAGCTGATGCCAAACTTATAAACTAATTCAAATTACTTTTTACCTCTTTTATGCTCAAGCAGCTACTCAGCAGTGGTTTTACTGTGACAGTACTTGAGAGACGGGCCCAGTACATTCAATTTGAAACACATTTGTGACCCTGTCTGTGAAAACCCAGCTAAAGTAATTTTTTGGTGATTTACTGTTTTCTATATAAAATCGTCCTTCATAAGGTACAGAACATTCTGTGAAAATGTAACATTGATATATTTATTACTGACTGAGTAAGACAATGTCAAAGATTGAAATAATAGTGGAATTAATGGTTGAAATCAAACTTTGATGCTTGTTATCTCATAACTAGATTTTGAGACTTTAGCCTGGATTTCACAGAGAGGGTCACATTTACCACTGTGTATGTAAGGAAGTCACACAGCTGACACAGTACTTCAGATTAGCTGCAACTGAGATGTGTTTCTGAGCAATTTTAAATTTACTAAATTCAGCAAGATGACAATTTTTCTCTCATGTATAATTTTGCTTTCTAATTTGAATTTGTAGTTGTTTCTGTTGCTCCAAACTTCTAGCAGCAGAGCAGTAAAGTGCTGAACCGAACAACACCAGAACACATGAGCCCATGTTTATACTATTACTTTAGACTAGTTTTTAGACTTTAGACTACTACTTTTTTGACTTATGGCCACTATGCAAGTTAATTGATATAAACAGGCTAGACTTCACACATGTACATACTTTCTCACACGTTGGACTCATCTGCTTACAACATACATGATGCTGTTTTGCACGTTACCTTTATGTTATTTTCATCATATAGGACTGTAGGGTAAAGAAAATAACCAACCAAACATGTGTTCCCTCTCAAGCTTTCACGAGACATCACAGAGATATTTCTCCGTTATGGGAACTCCTTCCCTTCCATTTTTTCCTGAAGTCCTATTGGCTCCCGCCAGTCTAAATGACTGGCCAATTGACGCTGTCCTGCAGCAGCCAAGACCCTAGGCTCAGACATCAGCCTCCCCTCAAAGCTGTGCAGGACTACTGCCCACCTTGCCAATAAAGCGTATGCGTCTGATGGCGAGGCGACGCGGAGGCTCAAAAGCGTGCCAAAGCCATGAGTCACGTGATGCTGATGCGCGCTTTCCAGCAGCAGACGACGAGATCAATAACCCCAGGCCAGCGACCGTGGCGGTGACGGCTACTGCTCCTCGCCAGGAGCCGGGTGTCTGGAGGAAGGCGTGGGGTCCCGGGAGGAAACGCCACGGCCAGCGGAGGAGCCCGTGCCGCTCGCCCCGCCTCAGAGCAGTGCAGAGCCGCCGCCCACACACTCGCCGGCGCAGCCGCTAATGCCGCTATGTCAGTTCCTGAGCTTTTGGGAAGTTATTCCGGGAATCTCGCGCTGGCTACTCGGTTTGTACAAGCAAGCAGCGAATCTCCTGTTATGGGCGGACCGTCACTTTTTCTCCATTCTCCATCAGAGCAGCGCACATCCCCGATCTCCTGAACCGCGGGGCGGACAGGAAGGGGATTCCTCAAGGAGAGTGGAGGTTGAACCCAGAGTCGGTTCGGATGATTTGGACCCGTTACGGGAGAGCGGAGGTGGAATCCCCGGTCTCCTGAACCGCGGGGCGGACATGCTTTCGAGGAAGGGGATTCCTCAAGGAGAGTGGAGGTTGAACCCCGAGTCGGTTCGGATGATTTGGACCCGCTACGGGAGAGCGGAGGTGGATCTGTTCACCACGAGCGAGAATGCGCACTGCCCGCTGTTCTTCTCCCTGTCTCACTCCCCGCTGGAAGGGGACGCTCTGACATCGCACTGGCCAGCAGCCAGGCTGTATGCGTTTTCTCCAATCAAGATATTGCCACTGGTGTTATGTAAGATCAGGGAGGAGGGGGCTTCGGTAATACTCATCACCCCGAACTGGCCGAACCAGCGGGGAACAAAACGTTATTAATGACCAGATATGCAAATTTCGTATGCCTGGGCTTTAGACGTTCATTGGCTTATCTCCACCTATCAGCTGCGAGCCCGCCTAACAAGCGTCGCTATTGGTTGGGAATTGTGTGTGTTCTATCTTCGCTGAGTGTGTAACTTGTACAGGCTGCTCGTAGCCTCTCTCACGGCAGGATTGAATATCGTTCCCATAATGGAGAAATATCTCCGTGAATCGCAGTTGCTCTGTTACTGGAGTACTTTTTTTGTGTTGCTTTGGCTAAAAGCAACTAACCATAATAACCTATGACTTGAGTAACAAGCTGTGGTAATAGTATGGCCGTCTAGCCGTCTTGTCCACATGCATCGGTTATTGCAACACATTAACTATTAAGTGTTGGAACATTTTGTTTCCAAATGCATACAGTATGTCAAATCTGCAGGGGAAAGACCAATGTTAACTTTTTTCTTCCAAAGCAGTAAAATACTAATTATTCAATTTAAAACAACCCCAATAGTTTTGCCATCACAACACAGTAATTTCCATTCACACATCTTAACTACATCACATGGTGAAGGTACACCCTGGTATGAATGAATGAACAAACAAACAATTACACTTGTTTGTTACAGTTACATTTGAAGAAAACCCATCTTTTGTGCTTAAAATTACACTCACTTTGCGAAAATAAAATTATATATTATATCCTAAATCTTGGATGAGAAAATTAACAGCAAATTTTTTTTTTTTAGGTGAACTATCTAGTTAAGATTAAAATTGACAATTAAAATTGTATTGATCTGCAAATATGAATGTGGCAAAACCACCATCGGCCTGGAATTGCTAGGCCACCGTGCCCATCAAATGCTGCAGTCTCTGAGAAGATGAGGTGCTTTAGAGAAGCTACTGCCCCTCGACTCCCGGCATAGCAAGGACAACAGATTTGTTTTAGACATTGGCCCATTTGAACACTTTATTGCATATCCATGGTGTCTGCCTTTGCTTATCGCACCACAGGCAACAAATAGTAGCCTATAGAAATATACTGTAGATTAAAGCAATAATTAGAAAAAATTGTCAGACTGTAATATTACAAACATTGTGAGTGATTCAGTGCTACCACATACCCTCTCTCTTAAATGGATAGTTCACACAAAAAATTAAAATACTGTCAATGGCTACCAGCAACTATTTGGTTATCAACACTCTTCATTACATATAATATTTTCTTTATACAGTATATCATCTTTTTTTTTTTTAACAGAAGAACGGTTTACACGAAAGTCAGCAGCTGTAAAATGTGTGTAATTCTATAAGGAAGACACAGCATTAGACATCTTCTGTCAAATAAAAAAACTAAAACAAACAAAAAAATCCCACCATAAGAGTCATTTAAGTAGAATAACCTAAAGAGAGTCACCTAAGGATGACTCTCACATCCATATTGCCAAAATGAATTCCATTCCTCTAAATACACACACACACACACACACACAAAAAAACCTGAACAAGATATCACATGACCACAGTGGTGTCTTATAAAAGTAAAAGCCAAAAAGCAGAACTTCAGAGTGGTCCAGTGTACTTGAAGCAACAACTTCTAATAATCTCACACTCAACTCCAGCAGACTGAATATGTCTTATTATGGCAATATAAACATTTCTGGGAAACATGGGATGGAAAAAGAATATGAAGAAATTAATATCAACAGCAGTGATGTCAATACAGGAAAAGAGTACATGGACATCCAGAGACACCAAACACCTAAAAACACAGGTACAGAGACTCATTTTATTATAATAACAAACGGCAGTTTAGGTTTAAACAAATCATGGTTTGCACAGCACACAAAATAGCTGAAAGCTGTCATGCAAACCTGGGAGCACACCAAGGTACTGAACCCAAGACTTATATTCAATCATCCTACAGAGCTGGCCTGAGTTTGGTTGGCATGATTTATGTGAAGGCAAATTCAAACTCAAGTACCTAGAGTAGTAATATGTACCTTAAGTAGTAATATGAATCATTTACAGGTAAATTTTGTGATGACAAGATGAATGCAAATGCATGGGGTTTGAGACCAACTCTGCAGAAGGCACTGGTAACCAGGGATCTGAACCGGTTCAAGGAACAAAAACGAAAACCAGAAACGAATACAATTTTGACAGGAACATAACCAGAAACAGAAACAAAATCAATTTGAATAGTTCCGAACAGAATCGAAAATTTCAAATGGCCATTAAGTTATTTTATCATTCCATTTAATATTTGAATTTTGCAGTCAAACAATCACTATTTCAAGTAGTATGGCCTATGCAAATGTGATGTTAACGCCCAACGAGTGAAACCCCTGCACTCAGTTGTAAATTCATCATAGATAAGTCACAATGGCAATGCCCTGGCGTTAGTTTATCCGAGGATACGTCATGAACCTCCAAGAATTAGGCTTACAATTAAGTGAAAATGAATGGCAGGTAATATGCTGCTTGTTGTGTGTTTCGAAACCAGCAAAAATTGCAGGATAGTGCAGTAGAACATGGATTCACACAAGGTCTCACGCACCTGCAGCGCTTGTGTGAATGGAGAAAACAGAATAAAACTACATACATAAAAAGGAATATACAGGCCTACACAAAATGTATTCCACTGAAATCATTAAGAGATTACCAAAACGAAAGAAAAAAAAATGTGCTGATTTCAGTTCATTGTGAAGCGATCCAAAGTTCACGGGAAGGAAAACGAGGCAGAAAGCTGTTTTCTTTATTTTGCAAAAGCTTTACAGTTTAGAATGATGTCTTGCTTCTATCTGTATGTAACGATTCAGTCCACTGAAGGCGAGCGTAGTGGAGAACCCAAGTGCAGTTTATTTCAAACAAGGAAAAGAAACACAACCCAAAACACCACATTACACTGTATAACTAACCAGCGTTGGTATGACCATAAATTACGGAGTAAAAGTTGGGAAAACAATGCAGTGATCACATCAGCGTCTCACATGAATACACAGCATATTTTTGCAAATGTGTTTATAGCAGCCTGCTCATTATCAAAATAAAATACATTTAAAGAAAGAAATAAAAATTTACACTGCTCAATTTAAATAGTCTGTAGTACAATCTGTGACCACCGCCTCACTGCTGATATAGCCTATGTAAAGGATAATGTCTTATGTTGATAATGCACGTGAATTGCAAAGCCTACAATGTTTTAGCATCTAGATAAGTCGCGAATATGGAAACATTTGGATTCGTGCAGAATGAGAGAGGTAGGCTTCAGTTTCACTTTAAACTAATTTATTTTTGGCTTTACTTTTATATAGCCTAGCCTAAATACTGTTAACTTTAGAGGATTTGTTGTTGAGAGAAGGGAACTAATAGCCTAGTTGTGTTTATAATGTTTGTAAACATTTTGCTTTACCGGTATTTTAGCCTACATTATTTCTAAATGTAATAATAAAATGTGACGTACAGCCTACGCGATTTATGTTTTTTCCTATCAAAACGTAATTTTATTCGAGTAGCATTTTTTAATCACGCAGCAAACATTTTAAAATATCGTACTTTAATGTCTTTAAAGCGTTGACCGTTTTTTCTTTTGTTTAATAAATTTGGCCAGATTCTATAAAAGATTATGCTGTATTGGCTATGATTAAGTGCAAGATGGGCAACCAGATCAAGAATCTCTTTATGTTTTTGTGTGTGTGTGTGTGTGTGTGTGTAAAGAAAACGCTGTTCTTTATTATTATTATTGTTATTGGCAAAGAAAAGTATTTTTTCTACTTAAACCGGTTTCAGAGCGATAGTAATACAGAGGAACGCAGGTTCACGCTAAAATGACGCTAAAAGCTAAAATACAGATTCTGCTCATAGTGAATCGATTGAATTTTTTTAAGCCCTGTTGGGAACAATCGTATTTGAATTTGGACCACAACAAATGTGTCCAGTGTGAAAGTGTCCTAACAGACATATTTTAGTCATAAGAGAGTTTAAGAAACATTTATCTTCATATCTGTCATCTTCATTTCAGTGAGGATCAGAAACTACAGAGCAGCTTTAGTGTGTTTGGTGCTGCTGTGTGTTCTTCTGCTGACTGCAGTCATAGTGCTGTGTGTCCACATCTATACAAAGAACACAAACTGCACACAAGAGAGAGATGAGCTAATAACAGAGAAAGGAAATCTGTCAAACAAGGAAGACCACCCAGTTGTTGGCAAAGGTAGGTTTCTTAATTTTATGTAGTTTGGTTGTGGTCTCAGTAACGTTTAGTGTACACTGCCTTTGGGTAAACTATCTGCTAGAAGTTACAGGTGGTTGAGTGTAGAGGTATTCATGGGTCCACTTAGATCCGAAAACCAGAATATGAAAATTGAAAAATGAAAATTGGCTGAAAATTTACTCAGCCTCGGGCCATCCAAGATTAATTTGTTTCTTCATCAAAACAGATTTGGAGAAACTTAGCATCACTTAATCAAACAGTAAAAAAAAAAAAAAAAAACATCTGATAAAAACATCACAATAATCGACAAGTAACCCACATGACTCCAGTCCATCAGTTAACATTTTGTGAATCAGAAAGCTGCATGTTGGTAATAAACAAATCCATCATAATATATATATATATATAAAAAGTTTTTTTTTCTGGCTAAAACATGTCCTTTTCCCACAAGATTGTTTTCTCCAATGAAAAAGTCATTGTGTCTTAACCAGGAGAGAAATATGCACAGATCAAGCACCGTTTACAGTACAAGCAAAAACAGTCCAAAACAGTTCTAAACAAATACGTCGATGGATTTTGATGTGAGAGGACAACAAGGGACAGACTTTTTCCCTGAAGGAAGTGTTATTATGGCCAGTAATGAGAGTTTAAAGTTAAAATGCCTTAACAATGGATTTGTTCCGTATAAACATGCAGCTTCTGAATTTATGTTGATTACTTGCAGATGTTTTTATGAGCTGTTTGTACTCTCATTCTGATGGCACCCATTCACTGTAGAGGAGCCGGATTGCTAAATTTCTCCAAATCTGTTCTGATGAAGAAACAAACTCACCTACATCTTGAACAGCCTGAGGGTAAGTAAATATTCAGCAAAATGTAATTTTTTTGTGCGAACTATTCCTTGAACAGATCAGTGCTCTGACAACCCTAAATGGATAACGTACAAGCACAGTTCCTACTACATTTCCTCTAAATGGAAGAACTGGAATGACAGCAGACGAGACTGTTTGCAGAGAGGAGCAGATCTGGTCATCATAAACAACAAAGAGGAACAAGTGAGTGAAATATTGTGTTTGAATCGGTGCTGAATACTGCTTATGGTCTAAATGTATAATATTTCATTCTAGGAATATATTACAAGGGTTACTAATGCAAACATTGTGTGGATTGGTCTGACTGACAGTGATAAAGATGGGGTCTGGAAGTGGGTTGATGGCAGCGCACTGAACAGGTGAGCAGCTTGGTCTCAATTCTCAGTCACACTGTTGTGTATGAAAAAGTATAGATAATTTAAATCATAACCTCTTTGCAAGCAGTATCAATGCATTCATGCATTAACTTCCAAACCTATTTAGTCACTTGAGCCACATATATTATATGACAAATAAACTTGAGCTGTTTTACTGATGATCTGTTGTTGTAGGATCTGGAGTTTCTGGGGGCCCAATGAGCCCAATAGCAGAGTTGGAGATGAGGACTGTGTTATATCTCACTATAGCTGGGCTGATTTTCCATGTAATTATACATTTGCATGGATTTGTGAGAGGAATTAAGAGGTTTAACAAAGCTGTTACATCAAATCTGTACATCCAAAGTAAAGCGGTAACCAAATAGATTTGCTGTAATGTGCAGTTAGGGTTATTATTATTTTTAATAAATGTTTGATGCTCATTTTAATAATATTCATAGAAAAATGAGATGATGTTAAAGCAAATAAAAATTGCACTCATTTGTCAATGCAACCTCTTGTGTGTAATATTTCTCAATTTGTCCTTATTTAATAAACAGAGAACAAGTGATTCACCATATCAACTCACTCAATCACTATATACATATACACTCACCAAGGCACTTTATTAGGTACCTTGTCAGTACCGGGTTACACCCCCTTTTGCCTTCAGAACGGCCTTAATTCATCATTGCATAGATTCAATAAGGAGCTAGAAACATTCCTCAGAGATTTTGGTTAATATTGACATGATAGCATCATGCAGATTTGTCAGCTGCACATCCATGTTACAAATCTCCCGTTCCAGCACATCCCGAAGGTGCTCTATTGGATTGAGATCTGGTGTTTGTGAAGGCCATTTGAGTAGTTAACTCATTGTCATGTTCAAGAAAGCAGTTTGAGCTGATTAGAGCTTTGTGACATGGCTTGTTATCTGGCTGGAAGTAGCCATCACAAGATGGGCACACTGTGGTTATAAAGGGATTGACATGATCAGTAACAATACTTAGGTAGACTGTGGAATTTATCAACGCTCAAAGGGGCCCAAAATGATCCAAGAAAATGTCCCCCACCCCATTACACCACCAGCAGCAGCCTGAACCTTTGATACAAGGCAGGAAGGATTTATTGATGTCTATGCCAAATTCTGACCCTATCATCAGAATGTCTGAACCTTTTTCCAATCTTCTATGGTCCAGTTTTGGTAAGCCTGTGCGAACTGTAGCCTCAGATCTTTATCATATCTGTCATCTTCAGGAAGTGATTCAGTGAAAAGCAGAAGCTCCAGAGCAGCTGTAGTGTGTTTGTTGCTGCTGTGTGTTCTTCTGCTGACTGCAGTCATAGTGCTGTGTGTCCACATCCATACAAACTACACAGAAGAGACAAACCAGCTACTAACCAAGATCACCAACCTTACAGAAGACAGATGAGCTACTAACCCAGATTAACAACCTCAGAGAAGAAAGAGACCCGCTACTAACTAACATGACCAAAAAGATGAGCTAATAATAAAGAACAGAAATCTGTTGAACGTGAGAGACCAGATAATAAATCAACTTTCAATTCTTTGTAAAAAGGATAAGTTTCTTCATTCTGTGTAGTTTGGTTGTGGTCTCAGTAACTTGTCGTATACACTATTATTTGAGTAAACTATCTGCTAGAAGTTACAGGTAGTTGAGAGCAGAGGTCTTCATAGGTCCACTTAGGTCTGAGAAACAAGTGTGTCTGCAGACCAGGCCCTCAAACATAAACTAACATAGACTATATACAGCAGTAACATAAAATGAATGGTTTTCTTTGTGATTATACAGTATAAAAATAAATATTGCTTTATTGCTAATAAACAGATGTGCTCTTTGTCACACATGCGCTGTATGTTCACACATCTCCTTCCGTTTAGTTCTATCTGGTGTTAAAAACAGAATAAAAATCTGAGCCGTCAGTCTTCACAGACCAAAACAGGAACAACATTCAGCATTAGCAGAATGTTCAATTTGTCAGTTACTAAAACAATCAAACAAACTAATGCCAAACTAATGAACTAATTCAAATTAAGAAAAAATTAAACCATGACAGCATATATTCATGCATTTTCTCAACAAAAAAAAATTGTGGAAATCCCAATCTGGTCTCATGACAAAAACATACCTCAAGGAACTTTTTCGCAAGACACGAAATACGTACTGCGTTTATGACAAGTTTGATGTGAAACGTCCATGTATAATGTGACGTTGGTTTTGTAGGCATAACCACAGTTCTGATTTAAAATGTCTGTTGAGTGCACTGATCTTTATAATAGTATATATAGATCAATGGTTGAGTGGCGCTGTAAGTATAATGCTCTGTGACGTTTTAAAATAACGTACCAACTGCACTACACCAAAACCTACCCGATAGAATGAACAAAAGCGAATGTGTGATGTAAAAACACAATCACAAGCTTGCCGTTTTAGCTTGTTTTTCGATCTCTCATCTTTCAGCTCTTTCATCGCGAGTCGTGTTTTCGACGGAATTCATACCCAAGGATTCCGCATCCTAAATCCAATTCCGTGCCGGCTGAGCTACCGAGCAAGCTTGTTATGTCCAATATGGCAACTTCGGCATGTGGAGTGTTACAAACGGTGAGACGGCTGTTCTGTTCTGTTGGACTCTAATATCAACACAACAATTTTTATAAATAAATAAATATTCGCGGGGCAGCGTTGACAACAAGTGTGCGCATCGCAATCAGGAATCTCCAAACTCCAATCTCTCTCTCTCTCTGTGTGTGTGTTTGTGTGTGTGTGTGTGTGTTTGTGTGCAAGTGATGTTTGTGGGTTTGTGTGCATCAATTAAAGCAGCACATTAACATAGAATGGTGATTAAACTGACTTGGAACTACATGTGCATTAAACGGTTATAATGCATACCTGCAAGCCAATCAGAATTAAGTATTTAGACAGACCATGGTATGCATAAATATACACACACACACACACACACACACACACACACACACATATATATATATATATATATATGTGTGTGTGTGTGTGTGTGTGTGTG